ACTGTCCCATCTTCAACGGGCTGTACAACTACTGCTCGCTCTACGCCGGGGGCAGCATCGACGCGGCGCGCAAACTGTGCAACAACCAGTCCGAGATCGCGGTGAACTGGTCGGGCGGCCTGCACCACGCCAAAAAGGCCGAAGCCAGCGGCTTCTGCTATGTCAACGACATCGTCCTCGGCATCCTGCAGCTGCTCCGCCACCACCCACGCGTCATGTACATCGACATCGACGTGCACCACGGCGACGGCGTCGAGCAGGCCTTCTGGTCCACCGACCGCGTCCTCACCGTCTCCTTCCACAAATACGACAAGGATAACTTCTTCCCCGGCACAGGGCCCCTCGACAGCACCGGCCCAACCCACCCGCTCAACCCCGGCGCGCACCACGCCGTCAACGTCCCCCTCAACGACGGCATCGACGACGAATCCTACATCCAGCTCTTCCGCGACATCGTCGGCGCCTGCGTAGACACCTACCGCCCCGGCGCCATCGTCCTCCAATGCGGCGCCGACTCCCTCGGCTGCGACCGTCTCGGCTGCTTCAACCTCAACGTCGGCGCCCACGGCGCCTGCGTCGCCTTCGTCAAGACCTTCGGCCTGCCCCTCCTCGTCGTCGGCGGCGGCGGCTACACCCCGCGCAACGTCTCCCGCGCCTGGGCCCACGAAACCTCCATCCTCATCGACGCCCAGGACCTCATCGACCCCAACATCCCCGACACCGTCGCCTTCCGCAACCACTTCGGCCCGGACTTCTCGCTTTTCCCGCCCCTGTCGGAAATGCGCAAGCTCGAGAACAAGAACTCCCGCCCTTACCTCGCCGGTCTCGTCCAAGCCATCCATGAGCAGCTCCGCTATATCCAGGGGGCCCCCAGTGTCCAGATGAGCTTCATCCCCCCGGATATCCTGGGTCTGCGCGAGGACACGGAGAAGGAGATCGAGGAGGCGACGGCCCAGCTGGAGGAGGACCGCGAGGACCGCGAGGGGCCCGGTAGTGCGGCGGTCAAAGGGAATCGGCGGCGGGAATTGGAGAGGGGCGCGGGATATCGGGGGGAGCTGTATTCTTGATTTGTCTTGTGTTTCATTTCTTCCTGGGCGTTTTGTATTCTATGAACTGATCTTGGGTGGTTTACTCGTTTGGATGGGCGGTGCTCTGGCGTTTGGCTCAAATTTGTTGCTCGATCTATGATATCCCAGAAGAGTTTTTCTTGTGTATTCAATTTTCTTTTTGGTTATCAGTCTCAGCCGGTGGGAAAAAAAGCAGGTCAGAAGGACCAAATCTATCATTATAGAATTAAGATACTCCCCAGCCTAACCTCCCATCCTTCTATCAGCCATATTCCAATATAGCCACATATATGAAACATTATCTTTATCTCCGGAACCTCCCGCGTCCCCAGCCGTCTCGCGCGTCAAATCTCCAAAAGGGCCTCTCGTCTTTTTATTCCCTTCGCTCCCCTGTCAAAATCAAATCGGGTATCCAGGACAGGCGACGCATTCGATGAGCAAAATAGCACAGAAAAGATAATTGAAACGAAACGATGTGTTGAAGTCAAAACGATCCCGTCGGCTGCGTTAGAAATGTGGCGAGGGTCATATCACGTTCGTCTAGCCACTTACTTCCTGGCAGGTTGGTACCGTGTTACGGCTTCCTCACCTGCTTCCTGTACGTTTGGAGCAACGATTGAGATCGCTCTCGAGTCGACGTTGCTCGAACGGGCTAGAGGTCCGGACACCTGGCGGGACCTCATCCGAAATAGGATGACCGAAGAGAAGCGTTGGTATGCAGCAAGATCAGATAGTTGAGAGTAGCGTCAGGCTTATTTTTCCTCCGCGTCGACATATTCATCGACTTCGGAGGTCCGAGAATCCTTGCGTTCTACAGAGTTTTTGCCCTCGCTCGAAGGTTGGGGAGCTTCTGAGGGTCCGGAGCCAGTGCCACTACCAGGGTTCTTTACATCAACGGCGTCAGATGCAGACGGAGCGGTTTGGTCCTCTTGTTTTGGTATGTGAGGTGGAATTTGGAATTGGTTGTTGTCTTTCTGGCCATCCAGGATGGGCGCGATGGATAGGATTTGTTGGGCGGCGAGTTCGGGGTTTCGAGAGTCACTGTAGTTCGCGGTCAACTTTTGATTGAAGGACGGTAGTAAAAAGAGGCGCCTCCATCACACTTACACATGCGCGCTGATGATCCAGTCCAAGTCCTCCTCACCCTCATCGGGACCTCCGGGGCCCCCGTGAACAAGGCGGAAGAGCCTCGGACGCCATTCCACTCCTTCGTCGGCCCGCTTAGCGGCCTCTTCACGTTGACGATCTTCAATCTTTGACTTTTCGTCCGTTGCCGCCTCGTGGTTACGGGCAATGATCGCCTTGACCGTGCTGTGCCACAACCGCTGCGATTCCCGCTCGCCCTGCTGTTCGATCGGCCGGGTACTGGGCGGTGTATGTTTTGCGTGTGTTGCGTCGAACAGGACATCCTTCTTGTGAGTCTATACATAGTCAGTATGGTTATTCTAGGACACACTCGGGCAGCATACATGAACGTCCTTGATGAACATCTCTCCGTTCCAAAGTCCAGACAGCTCATAGTATACCTCGCCCGTTTTCTCATTCTTGATCGTCCCTCCGATTGCATTGTAGGTGCCGGAAAAGTACCCCTTCGTTTTGAACTCGATATCGGCGACCAGATTGTTCTCGGGACAACGGACGTAGCTGTGATCACCGAGCTCATACTTCATCTTTCCAAAAAGGATGCCACGGGCGTACATATTCGGTTGTGTCAGGATGCTGAACACCGTTCAATTAGTATCAGATTGAACAACGTCTATAGCTGCAGTTCATGAAAGTGGGATATGCGGCCACATACTATCGTTCGCCCTTCTCTGGGTTTTGGCCGCGGTTTAGGAAGCGTAAAATGGCGACACCCTCCATCATACTTGCCGCCGAGTTTCCTAGGAACTTGCTGCGAGGCTTCAACGTCCCGTCAATTCGGATGTGGTGCTCTGGCGCCATGAAGAAGTAGCTGGACTTTGGAGGGTGGTGAGAGGTCTGTTCGGCGATGTAATACCCTCGCGTGCCATCGGGGTAATCCCAGTAACAAGTGAAGGTCTCTCCGAGAATCGGATTCAGCGGCTTCTTCACGCCTCTGCAGTATCCACGTTAGAGAGGATGTCTCATCCTTGGAGACAGAATGGGAGCAAGTCGAGTGCACGTACGGAGGTTTAATGTGCCATCCGCTCAGGTAGAACTTGACGACGGAAACGAAGCGCTCGAGGGGGTCATCGATCGTGGGCATGGGAAGAAGCGTCTCCGGATGAGCCATGAAGCTTTCAATAGGGGTCATGATTAGCCAGAGCATCACAGCGAGGTTCGAGCACACATACTTTGTGATCCGTTCCAACATGGAGCGAGGCTCCAGAATGAAGGTAGGCAGAACGACCCGACTCAGGTCTGCGCCCGGTCGGAGCTGGGAAATGATATGAGACAGCACTGAGCAAAGGAGTAAGCGCCTATATTACAGCCGAGAATAGAGCCTCCGGGGACGAGCTCCTTGTTGCAACTGAACCTTATAGTAATTACATACCATTGCCCTGTTCAGGCTCAACGACCTCCTCTTCCCCGCTTCCGGCTTCTGGCTTTGATTCATCCATGGAGGAACGAGTACCTGAGGAAAGATGGAAAAAGGAGGCCCAGTCAGCGGACATGACAGAATGAACTGACGGATTTTGATGTAGATGGCTAAGGATATATAGAAGACAAGAACAGATGGAAACAAAATTCGTGGTAATGATAAGGTAACCAAAGTATGCACGGAAAAATTAGGCGGAGAGAATGATTAGAGGGGAAGGACGAGCAAGACAGACGGGTATGACGTGTTGGGGAGAAGACAGCAACAACAGTCATATTACGGAGTAGATATTTGACAGTATGTACTCCGGAACTCTACTTACTGGAAGTGGCCACAGATGAACGCCGGCGGATATGCGGAACAGTCACAGGCATTTCGTTACTGTGATATAAGAAGCAGTAGTAATAAGTAGAATCAGATAGATAGAATGTATCGCGTAGGGAGGGGAGGGGAGAGGAGAAAGAGAAAGAGAACGAGAAAAAGAGGTCTTCTTGAAGGAAAAGTCGCTTTGGGGAGTCTTTTTCTGATGTCTCTTTTCTTTCCTTCTGATTGATAGATAGATATTTATGGAACCAGTTGACAGGTCTTGTGGTTCCTTTGTGAGAGGAGACTTGCGCAGTATCTACATCAGGATGAAGTTGGGAGAATGAGAGAAGAAACAGAGAGGATTTTGTATCGATGACACTTTTTCCTTTTTCCTTTTTTTTCCCCTTTCCCCTCTTCGCTTGACTATTGTGGCATACTATTTTTTTTACATTAACCACTTTATTTTAATCCGGTCGACAATAATAGTACTCTTGTTTTGCTCATAGTCTAGTTTATACTGGGGTGGAGCAGCCGGCAGGGAGTGACGTTGCCAATACAGAATCCCAGAGAAGGCTGAGGAGGTATCACCATTTCAATCCCCACAAGTCCTACAAGAGTCCAAGTCAGTCATTTACCTACCATATTTAATGACGATGGTAAGATGGTCTCAATCAATTTCTCCTATTTTCATCTACTGTTTATCCCCTAACGTCAGGATCTTATACTTTGTCTTTCAACCCCCGTCACATGCGCAATCGTATTTCTAGTTCTCACCGACTGATGGCGAGGGGCAGAAGCTTGGCGGGTGGGGTTTACTTAGGGAGCGTGTACGCCGTACTCGTATAGATACTTTTTTGATCTATTGGTTAAGAGTAACTCGAACTGGGTCTATATCTATCTATCTGCCTAGTATCTGTAGTCTATGCCTAGCTGTCTACCAAGTATCTGGGTAAATTAGTCTCAGAGACCCTGCTTACACCATCATCCCGCCCCTAACTATATGAAGCAAACCCAAGTCAAGCAATGCCATGGGTGATTATATAGGCAACCATGTCTAAGACCTCGGCTCAGAACCTTGCCGTCATTGGCACATCCCCTTGAGTAACCTCCTTGACGAATTCCATATCCGGTTGATAGAGCATGACATGAAAGTGTTCAACTGCATGGACCGACTTGAGCGACTTCCAGTTCTTGAACCAAATGACCTGTGCTTGTTTAGTACACTGAATCTCTCATCGCCAGTTAGGACAGCAAACCTGTTCAGCCGGCACCCGCAACCGAAACGTCCTTGTCACATAATCATCAATCTCCTTCCTCGCTTGAGGCGTCAAATCATCCGTGGCAGGATCATCTTCCAGCTCGAACTTGGTCCACACCACAAGATGCACAATGTCCTCCTCGACCCCATATGGCCAGTCATTATACAAAATCCGAATGTCCTCTGCATGAAATCACGTCAGAACGACCAGTCCAGTCAACAATAGGGGCAAACGAACCATCGAACTCGAACGGCCGCCCCTTGGGCCTCAGATCATCCGCCTGTCCATCCCCCCAGCGGAGCCTTTTCTTGACCATGAATCGCATGATCGATCCATACTTGGCCACAATGTGCGCTTTAAATTCAAGATACCTTCTCAGTTCGCTCGGAACGCGCTGGAACAAATCTATCCGGTTACTTCCTGGTTATAACATGTCAGCAACTGGTTGCCGCACATTACTCCAACCCGGGCCCACTTACTAACAATCTCCTTTACCGTCTCCCAATCCTGCCTCTTGTACTCCGTATCTGGTGTCGACAGAATGGCAATGGACTTGGCCGGCAAGTCGCGCAGAAACGCAGGACATTCTGCCGGCCACTGCGACGGGGGAACATTGACGAGCCAGTACGGTAGTTTCTCCGTCAAATTCCTGTTTTGAGCTAGGTGCGTAGTTGAGACGCTGATGGTAGTTGATTCAAAGTTCTCATTGACAGCTGTGAATGCCGCTGTTGGCGTTGAGAGGCTTGTATTTGTAGGCATTGTGTTGTTGGTCTGTATAAGCAAATCCCCTCGCGTAGTTTTGGTATACTTCGGTGAGTACCGAAGCGAACGAAATGAGATATGCGCTTAGGCAACACTTACACTACAGGATGGCAAGATGGAAAGAGCAATCAGAAAAGACATGCTGTGTGGAGAAAGGATAAGTCCCCCCAGACGGTGGGATAAGATTATGAACTCCTAGAGTTGAATTGACCCGATCAGCGCAAAGGGACCGTTAACTGGTAAGGGGGATCGACCCGTCAAAGGACCCGCAAGAGCACCCAGAATGTTCTCCTATTGATTGGATAGCTTTTAGCTTCTCCTTCATATAGTAATACAATAAGGGTAAAATATTTGAGCCGGCTTCATTCTTTTCACTCAATCTCTCAATCTCTGGGGCAGTCCAAGCCAAGAACAACAATGAATGCAAGTGAGCCTAGGGAGAATGTCAGAAGCATTGTTCTCCACTGCGGAACGGCGCCATTGTCAATCATTAATTCGCCCTAAGCAATGCTGAAACAGCTTTTTGATATCAGATATTTACCTCGAGTATCCTGTTTTTTCCAACAAAAACGTAGATATATCGGTACGAACTATCTACCTTAGGGTCAATATCATACGGTCCAGAGGCATAGTCTCACAAACTGCGGTTCACAGCCTACTTCACACCATCAGGATGCGGTAAAATCCTCATCGTACGCTTCGTATAAGCAGTCTACTACTCATGTCCTAATGCTGGATTCTAAGGTTCACCGACGATGTGTCTGACGCCATAGCAAGGTCCTAGCTCAGTTCCGATTCAAAAGTCTATCATCATGTCGATTTCGCTTGAATACTGGGTACCATGTGCAGTTCCTCTCGATACGGCAACTAAGACGCAGTGAGAGCCGCAATCTCAGGCCCGTCCGATCGAATGATTGTTACTCCCGCTGCTTCACACTCTCGCTTGGCCTCCTCCCATCCTGCATCAGGATCGACGCTTCTGGTCGCATCCTCGACAAGATAACTTTTGAACCCTGACCTCGCGGCATCCATAGCCGTGTATTTGACACAATAGTCACCAGCGATCCCCACTGAGAACACATGCGTGATGCCCCTCTCTGCCAGCACTGCTTTGAGATCAACGTCCACTGACTGAGCATGAACGGCCGGGTCAAGGTTGCCGAACGCATCAGAGAAGGCAGAGTACATCTCAACACGCGCATCCATGCCCTTCTTCACGTGCAGGTCAATCTTACTGCTGTCAATCTCAGGGATGATAGAGGCCCCCTTGGTCCCTCCAACACAATGAACGGGCCATAGCCTTTGCTCCTTGGTCTCGTTTTGCTTCCCAGGCGCCGGATTGGTCATCTGGAAGACGGACTCAAAGGGGCGATTGTTAGGCTCGGGATGATTGCTCGCAAAAGATACATGATTTTGGGGGTGATAATCTTGCGAGGCTACACGTATCACGAAGCCTGGGTTGGCGAGCAAGTTATTAATGAGTGGTGCAATGGAGCGAGCCCCTTGTACCGCGAGTGATCCATCCTGTTGCTATGAGCTTCTTTCCACAGACATGAGAGCAAGCTGTGCTGACCGGTGGGCAGAAATCTTCCTGCATATCTACCACAAGTAATGCTGCCTTCATCATGAGTTGGGTGTGACAGCTTTCTTGGGTTAAGAGTCTATTGAAATCAGTTTGTATTGCCCTTCCAGAAGCAATGGTCGACCCCTATATGGGCACGAAGTATGCGCGTTTTCCTTTTATTCTAGGTTTTGTCTGAGTTATGGGTAGCCTGGTTGTCACACTCTCCAGTCAGATAATTTTCATGCGCAGTCTGAAGACAATGCAAACATCGAGCAGCCTGGGAAGACACATTGTCGTAGGATGGCACTGGTTAGATCGAAATGACGGGGACATATACCCCATGATAGAGTCACATGATTCCGCTCCGTTTGGCCAGAGGAACCGGGAAAGATTAGCGTAAGGCTTGCAAAGGCTGACAATATCGCCTAAAATCCATGATGGTGTCAGGGTTATTTTGGCAGGTATCTATCAGGACCTGTCAGGAACTTCTTCAGCTGTTCTGTATCACGACTCTCAACGTTCATCCACGGTCAGTTCCCCAAAGGGTTAGCGCAGGATCAGCGCCTGCTGACTCAGCTCAGCACCCAAAAGCTTCGTGTGGAGCAAAAACACACGCAAGATTCTTCACTTCTGTCATCAGGGCTGCGGCCCTTCATCCATCTGTCGAGATCATACAATTGACAACAGTACATCAGGCTCATTTCAAGACGCAGATAATGAGAGGCGTTCTCAAGGTATGTACCACGAAGTATGAATTTCTATCAACCCATGCTGTGCCATCACATGATGATCTCTTTTTATTGGAGCTGTCCTAGCTACACGATGCGGACAACCTTTTTATACGCATAATTAGATTTCTGATAATTTACACTTTGTTTCCTTGGTCACTGCTCTTGCAAGCATCACCATTCAATCTGCTAATTGAAAGCAGCTCTTACAAGGAACAAGTGAACACACCTTCCAGCCTCCTTGATTTTGGTCTCGCAAAGTCGACTCCCAAGCCGGCACCTCCGTTTCTCCTAAGAATAACACATCACACTTGGTGATATTCGATTATATCGCCGCTCACCATGGCTCATGACCCTCGACTATCCAGTGTGGGAGCTACCACTCCCAATCCGCCTCCTCCGCCCCCTCCTCCACCCCCGGAGACCTCTACGACAGGCACAGGCGAGGCCCAGGCCGCAGAAGCAGCTGCACCCGCACCGTCGTCAGACTCATCCAAGCTGAAGTTCTGCACAGTATGTGCATCGAACCAAAACCGTTCGATGGAAGCCCATCTCCGGCTCTCCACGGCGCCCTCTCCCTTCCCCGTTATCTCATTCGGAACAGGTTCCCTGGTCCGTCTTCCAGGACCATCCATCACTCAACCTAATGTCTACAACTTCAACACCACCTCGTACTCGCAAATGTATGACGAGCTCCTCGCCAAGGACGAAAGACTCTACCGTAATAATGGCCTTCTGAACATGCTTGACCGCAACCGGAATTTGAAATGGGGCCCGGAGCGTTTCCAGGACTGGGTTCCGGGGATGCCGCGCGTGGACCACGTGTCGAAAGGCGACAAGGGTGCTCTGGGCACGGAAGGAGGCACGGTCGACGTGATCATCACCTGCGAGGAGCGGTGCTGGGATGCCGTCGTAGACGATCTCATGAACAAGGGCGCGTCCCTCAACCGACCAGTCCACGTGTTCAATGTCGATATCAGAGATAACCATGAGGAAGCCCTGGTAGGAGGAAAGGCCATCCTCGAATTAGCCACGCGACTGAACGATGCGGCCACCCAGGAACGTAAGATTCATGGTGCCGAGGGCTGGGAAAACGGTAACGGCGACGCCCGTAGGAGCTTCGACGAACGCGTTCCCGAGATTCTGGCTTCGTGGCAGGAGAAGTGGCCTAATTTGCCGGCTTTGTGGACTTTGGCCTGGCTATAGTAACGAGAATCAATAGTGCTTCGCACTTGCATAACGATAATCCGTGAATTAATATGACTTTTCTCTGCATATTGGGCAGTCAGTGTCTTCTTGTAGCTATTAACGTACAAATATCACCGGACAGTCGAATAAAATCCAACTCCAACTAAGCAAAAGGGTATCTCTTGAACAAAAAGCCCAACCAGGTCGAACGCCCGTTTTCCAAATCCATAATATCATCTCTGACCCAAAAGTATCTCTCGTCGCTCCCTATACCACCGCTCCAAACACGCCCGTCTCTGAGCCTGCGTCATACCCTCCACCACAAGCGCAAACTCCGTGGCACTAGCGAACCCGAACCGCTTCGCCATACTACAAAACTGACGCTTCACCACCTCCCGTGGTGGATGGAATCTATACCGGATGGGCCGGCCGTCCTTGTCGAGAATGGAGTCCCGCCCGGTCCTGTCTTGCGAGGACCCGAAGACCTGTATGTCGCCGAGATTTTCATCGGCTAGCTCGGCACGCCGACTGAGGCGCTCTTCCACCTTGGACGACCCGATGACTTCGTTGTTCAAATGGGTGTATTCAACGCCCGCGCCGGCGAGGATGGCCTGGATGGGATCGTGTTTCTGCGCGGTCACTGCGGCCTGGGCCTGGGGCGCGGCGTCGTCGGCGTCGCCGCGGATCATGGCGGCTAACTGGCTCATGACCTGGTCGTCTGGATTCTTGGGTTCGGAGCTGGTGTCAAGCGTGGTGGTCGCTGCGTCGGTTTCGTCGACGTCGATGTCCATGACTTGGACGCCGGCCTTGCTCTCGGCGACGTTGGTCTTGTTGACAATGTCCCTGAGGACGATGTTGTTGGTTTTGAACTCGAACAGATTGTCCAGCCCGAAGATCTCGCCCTTCTGGTCTTTTTTCTCCTGCACTCCTTTGAAGTATCTCCGTTCGGAGCTGGCGTTATAGCCGATGTTGGCCTGCTGTTGCTTGTATATCTGACGCGCGTAGACAATTTCCTCGATCGTGCCGGCGGAGATCAGGCGGAAGACCTCGACGTTGCGAGCCTGTCCAATTCGGTACGCTCGGTCCTGGGCCTGTAAGTCGTGCGAGGGGTTCCAGTTCGGGTCGACGACAACGACTTTATTCGCCGAGGTGATGTTCAGGCCAACGCCTCCAGACCGGGTTGAGATTAGAAAGACAAACTGCTTTGGGTCGGAATTGAACTCGTCGACAACCTTTGTCCGCTCCTCATAAGGCATGGAGCCGTCCAGGTAGCTCACATTGTAGCTAGTATAATGAAAGAGCATCTGCAGCATCTTGAGAAGACGGACGCTGTGCGAAAACACCAGCACCTTATCACCGTTCGCATGCCACCATTTCAGAAGCTTGCGGAGGACCTTCCATTTCCCGCAGAATTCGGGGTTGGCGTAGTTGACAATGGAGTCTCGGGTTCGATAGAGCTGCTCCCACTGGTCGGGCACGGCAATCTCCAGCATCTCTTTATCCTTCTCTTGCTTCTCCAAGGAGTCTGCCCCTTGCGGTATGAGTGTTGCAAGGTGGTTGCTGAGCTTCTGGAGTATGGCTATAGCGGGGAATACATAGTTCTGCCATCTGCCTCCGGAGGGCAGAAACTGCCGGCAGCACCAGCCTGCTTTCTTTCCTGAGCCACAGTCACACTTGTCGGAGGATGCCTTGATGTACTGAACAATGTCGCTGTCGAGGATGTTTTCGTAAGCACTTGCCTGCGTCTCGGTGAGCGGACAGAAAACGACTCGGTCGCTCTTCTTTGGAAGCTGATCGGCTATCAGTGTCTTCATGCGCCGTAGGAAAAACTGAGGTAGGAGATTCTCGACGAGCTTCTTCGCTGTCTTGCGCGCTTTGCTGAGTTGGTAAAGAGTGGCATCGTGTGACTGTCCAATTCTCAACGGCTCTGAGATGGTACGTCTCCAGATCGTAACCGGGCCAAGTTTCCCCGGATTCGTCCAATTGAGGAGTGTCCACAATTCTTCGTATTTGTTCTGAATGGCGGTCCCCGTCAGCCCGATTCTGCAAAGTGCATTGACCAAGTTCATCGCTTTTGTTGTTTCCGAGCTGCGTTCCTTAATGATGTGGCACTCATCCGCCACAACGCAGTCCCATTCGACCATGTTCACGGCGTCCTTATTGTGCAGATATGTGCCATAGGTTGTAATGAGAATTTCCAAGCGACCTGACCTCGCGGCTTGCAGTGCGAGCTCCTTGTTGTCCCCATGGTATGTATCAACATGCCACCAGCCCCAACGGTTGAATTCCGAAATCCAGTTCTGGATCAAGGTCCCTGGACAGACGATCAAGGTGCGCGGATACCATCCGTCCCGGCCACTTCGCCTCATCTTTCTCATCCTTTTGGCGTCTCGTTCATCACCAGTCTTCCCGTATGCAGCAGTGAGGAAAGTAATCACTTGCACCGTCTTTCCCAGACCCATATCGTCACCCAGAATGCCCCCTTTCTGATAGACAAAAAGCTCATGGAGAAAGGCGGCACCTTCGACTTGATAGGGTCGCAACCATTGGGCAATGGGGGCCGGGATTAAACCGAGCGAGTATGGAAGGGTTATATCCTCGTACTTCGCGCAAGGTTCTATATTCCTAAATGCAGGTCTCTCCTTTAGAAACTCCAACCGCTCATCGTCCGAGAATTCCACGTCATCGAAATCTGGTGGCAGCTTCAACCCGGACTCCTTCAGGTGGTCCATCCGCCGGTCGAACTGTCTTCGACGCTTCTGCAGATAGTCCGGAAGCGTATACTCCATGAGCTCATCGTCCGAGGGAAGCTCTTCCCCATATGTCCTCAGGACGGGTCGCGTACGAGTGGATTTCTCGTCCTCTTTCTTCGGCCTTTTGCCGACAAACGAGTCAGGATTCGCCACTTTGCTTTTCTTAGACTTGCGAAGATTGGCACTGCTGCGCTTTCGCTTGATAGCTTTCCTCTCTTTGAACTGCTTATACGCTGCTTCGCCATCGTTGAAGGAATCGTCGCCACTGTCGGTATCGGCTATATCAACGACGGAGGTATCACGGTTGGAAGGAGACGATAACTGCTTGATCCTCGGACACTCATGATCAGAGACGGACTGAGGTGGTTCGGGGTCTGACTTAAGTACACGGTCTCTATCTAGACACAGATTTCTCAGATTAGCTCGTAGCTAAAGCGTACATGCGGAGAAACATACAGCGAGGAGGTATTGACGGCTTGGAGGAATGAGTGCCATCGAGATCGTCATCTTCCGTATCGTCAACAGTTGATACGTCGGTGGCTTGTAACTCCCAATCTCCGCCCATGCTGAAGAACAAGGAGGAGCAGGAAATTTGTCTCCAAACGCGTGGAGGAAGTGCTGGTGAGAATGCGGAGTGCGGATACTTATCAGGCGGATTTCCCGACTGGGAAAAGAGCTGTTGGCCGCAAACTGAATTTGTCTGCTCTCACTTTCGACCTCCGCCGTCCTTTCACATTCGTTTGCCCGCGCAATTGCTCGTACGTCATTTGGGATTGGGATAATCCTGAGTCAAATTTCATCGCCTTTACAAGCGCTTTTTCTTCATTGTTGCTTAACATTGCTTAACACCTGGCTGGCGTCCTGACGTCTGGAAAAATTGCTCGTGACTGGCATTATAGCGAACGGTTGCGGAACTGGTTGATAAGGCACAGAGATTGGTGGACCATAACGATAACTTGAAGGACTCAAAATGCCTCTCGATACCTCTACGACGTATCCGCTTACGAAGCTGCGCCTTGATGGACGCCGCTGGAACGAGCTCCGTCTTCTTCAAGCCCAGATTTCTACCAACCCCGCCAGTTCTGGGTCATCCTTTTTGTCCATGGGAAATACATCGATAATGTGCTCTGTTCATGGTCCCGCGGAGGGAAAGAGGGGGGACGCGACAGGAGGTGCTGCAGGATCAGCCGGAGCTGTGGTCGAGGTCGATGTCAACGTTGCGGGGTTTGCAGGCGTTGATCGCAGGAGGAGGGCTGGGGGCAGCGACAGGTATGAGACCTTATTGCTACGCTTCGTCTCTTTCGCTACGTTCTAACATGTCCCGACATAGGCAATCTTCGCGAATTGCGACGATCCTGCGATCGGCCTTCCAATCCCACCTTCACACCCACCTCTATCCACACAGTACGATTAGCATTCACGTCTCAGTCCTGTCGGCTGACGGGTCTCTCCTGGCCGCAGCGGTCAATGCGTGCACCCTGGCCCTTGTCGACGCCGGTATTCCCATGCCGGGCTTGCTTTCTGCCTGTACCTCTGGCATGAGCGGGAGCGCCTCTACGCCACGTGATCCTCGGAATGACTTCCTGGATCCCCTTCTAGATCTGTCACTGCCTGAAGAACAAGAGCTTCCTTTCCTGACGGTTGGGACAACAACAGCTGTTCCCGTTGGAGAGGACGCTATGGACGAGGACGACGAAGATATGAAGGTCTCCATGATGGTGATGGACTCGAAAGTCCATTGCACTTATCTCGAGACAATGCTTGCCGTCGGAATCGACGGATGCAAGCAAATCCGGGAGATCTTGGAAGGAGTCATCAAAGGGACAAACCGGGGAGTATGATATCTACTTGACATCATGTGTCTCGATACTTTTATACCCTGCATGTATACTCTTGGGAGTTGGGCGTCGCGGTTATGATGATAGATGGGGTGATTGTACCTTTGAATGATTCATATTTTTTTTTCTTTTTACCATTCCATTTCTTTTACACGTTGATAAAACCCTATAAGGCTAAGCTCGTTTTTTCAATAAGCAGAGACCCAGTTCCTTAGCATAGATTCCAATAATGTCCTGGGGGCCAAAGCAGCCAAGCGGCCGAAATGTGCTCAATTCCACTCGCAGCCAAACCCTAATTGGTTTGGACTGCAGCCCAGTACTTCCTAGCAAACAGCAAACTGAGGCCTTTCGAGCACAAATTATGAAACAGAGCAGAATACTCGAATTGATATCCACCCAATGACTATGAGAATCATGCGATCGAGCCACAGAAGAGCAGAGAGAGCGCCGGGGAGCAGCTCATTTGTTCCCTGATGGGCCTGTCTAGTTGTACGACTTCACTTTCTCCCAGGGTGTCACTGCTTGCTATCTTTATCTAGATAACCGCCTTGTTTCCTCTTCACAATTCTTGCCTCTATTACTCTGCTCTTCTCTCTTCTCCCGTTCTCTATTCCACCTTTCCTCCCTGTCCCTGTCTGCCAGGTCAGGGATTGACTGACTCGCTACCTCAAGTGCATCTCATAGGAAAATCCCTAAACTTTCACATGTACAATCGTCTATCCCACCAGTAGAATGGATCATATGCACCACGATATGGACTCCATGACTTCAACCATGACCATGGCCATGTCCGCAACCTCGACTGTCAGCGCCGCCATGAGCACCGGCAGCTCTCATAGCATGAGTGGCATGGGTGATATGGGTGGCATGGGTGGCATGGACGGCATGCACTCGTCTTCCTGCAAGATCTCGGTATGCAGACTCGGAGCACAGCACCGACGACAATATCAAACAATAAACCACCGGCTGACCTCCCCAACCGTCTAGATGTTGTGGAACTGGTACACCATCGATTCCTGTAAGCTTTTTGACTCTCTCTTCTCCCTCCACGATTCTAACGCCAACCATCTCCAGGCTTCCTCTCCAGCCAATGGCACATCACCTCCCGCGGCATGTTCGCCGGCTCCTGCATCGGGGTCATCTGCCTCGTCATCTGCCTCGAGTTCCTCCGCCGCGTCGGCCGCGAGTACGACGCCTTCATTGTCCACCGCGCCCGCCTGAGAAAACAGTACCTCTCCACAACCGCCTCGTCCCAAGGCCTGACCGCCGCCGAGGACGCTCCCGAACCTACCCCCGGCGTCGAAGGCGCAGCATCCAAAGCCGCAGCGCAGACGATCTGCAGCGCCTTCGAGGACAAGACGCCCGTCCGCCCCACGCTGATCGAGCAGCTGGTGCGTGCCCTGCTGCATATGCTGCAGTTCGCGGTGGCGTACTTTGTCATGTTGCTTGCCATGTACTTCAACGGGTACATCATTATCTGTATCTTCATCGGGGCGTTCCTGGGTTCCTTTATCTTCTCCTGGGAGCCTTTGAATCTGCAGAAGGAGTATGTCGTTCTCCTCCCCCTTACCTTTCCTCGGATGATATGCAAAGGGCTCGATCTGACCTGTGTCTTCGTCTTAGGAATGATGCTACAACGGTCACCAAATGCTGCGGATAGATATTGCTCGTTGATCCGGCCTGCAATTCGTTTGAGTCGCTCCCGATTCAAGCGTTCCGCTTCTCATCTCTTAGATCTGTGGTGGAGTGTACACGCTGTTGACCAAGATACCTCCAAGGGGTCTGTAATATGAAACCTGTGACGACAATCAAGAAGAACACAAAAGTTTACCATCCAGTTTCATGATCAGTTTTGTAGTCGTTTTATTGACGTAAAATCAAGATATGGCTCAGTGAAGAGATCTTCGCAATCTGGGCCAAGCAACCTATACGTGCATTCCAACAGTCTCTTTGCTCGCCCTCAGCCTCATATTCTCAAGCCCGACTTCCTAAACGCTGTCACGTAGGTCGTACGGCGCAGTAGGGGCTTAGTTACGACGGCAAACTGCAAAGATTTACAGGCGATCAGAAACGGAACCGATTAGAAGCAATTGCCGGCACAGACTGAAAGTGGACAGAGACATGCTTGGCTAATAATTCGGGAACAGTTCTAGATTACACCACGCAAAAAAGGAGACGTCGGAACCCCCAAGGCCTGATCGGAGAACAGAGAGCCACAGGCTTCATCTTTTTAGTCGTTAGAACCGAGAGGCTCCCGTTTGATCGGACCCATTATCTTCCCCTTTTCATTGCTTACAGCTCACCACAGTTGACGATCTTGGGACGAGTGTTGGAACGGACAGCACCGCTGCTGCTTCCGAGAGCCTCGATCTCCTTGACGACACTGTAGGAATCCTTGTCCGCAACTTCACCAAAGACGACGTGCTTGCCATCGAGCCAGGAAGTCACAGCCGTGGTGATGAAAAACTGAGAGCCGTTGCTACAAGGCGATCAGTACAACTTCACGTACCTCTATAGACATAAACAAATCGCAGGATACAACTTACGTGTTGGGACCAGCGTTGGCCATGGAGAGGATACCCTCCTTGTCGTGCTTGCGGATGAAGTTCTCATCGGCAAACTTCTCGCCGTAGATAGAGCGACCACCAGTGCCCTGAGCGCAAAGAGTTGTACATATTAGTTCTCAAGTCCTATTCAGGGTCCAAAAAGCAATATGGGGTAACGGGTCCGGTGAGAGCGGTGTCGTTTATGACGAAAACTCACATTGCCACGAGTGAAGTCACCACCCTGGAGCATGAAGTTGGGGATGATGCGGTGGAAGGTAGAGTCCCGGAAGCCTTCGCCAGCAGGTCTCTTGCAGAGCTCACGGAAGTTCTTGGTGGTCTTCGGGACCTCCTTATCGAAGAGGTTGAACACAATACGGCCAACCTTGGCTGTCAAGACACGAAGCAGAATACCGTCAGTAAAACGATTCGAAAGCATTGATTGAAGTCAGATTCAATACGGCCCGCTTTGAGCACGCTTCCGCGCCGATGCTGAAAAGCGGGAGGATGGAGGGGTAATGCAATTGTACCCCGGGCCCGGAAACCAAGTACAATAACGACAGGGAGGGCGTGGGATAACTTACGGGCAGAGGTGCCCACAGGGGCGTACTCGACGTCGAAGAAAACCTGAGACATGGCGGAGGGGGTTTGATGGAATCTGCGAAGAGACAGGAAGGAGGACTGATTGCAATTGACAACGGAGGAGAGGAGGGGACGAGAAGTGAAGGACGAGCAAGGTGGGGTTATTGTTGACCTCAGGCTACGGGAGAACATTGTTGCTAGTCGGTGCTGGAACTAAAAGGAGGGGCAGAAGCGGGTCAATACGGCGGCCGAACGGGGGGCAGTCACGGGACTAAAAGATGCAATGAAAAAACATTGCGTCAGCCGAAAAGAGCCATTTGTGTAAGTTTAGGTAAGCCGTCGTGGAGGGCTGCTGGCCTCAGGCTCCCACGTGGTTGGCCGGTCGGTAGTTGGCTGCATATAGCAAGCTCACAGCGATAGGCACCGTGCTAGGGATGAGTCGTCCTTTGCAGGGGCATCAAGAGCACAGCAAACCCATCCAATAGAAGCAATTGGGAACACATGAGAAGGTCCAGTCTCCAGAGAAACAGAGAGACGCTACTCACCTTGAATTGATATGAAGCAGATGAACGCTGCGAACGGTGACGTGCTGTATGGAAGCAGTCGAACCAGACGTGAAGATGGAAGCAGGGGAGAAAAACTAGAGCAGAATCCCAAAATAGTATGGTGCCAAAAAATTATGATTATATAATGATACACTGGAGGCACAATGCTTCGAGAACTTGTTGGAACCTTAGGAACAAGGCGGAGGAGAAAAAGGAGTTGCTACGAAGTAAGGCGGATTCGATCTCCATCATAGATGGTCACGTGATTAACCATCGAACTAGTTGGCTTCGGGGATATAAACTGAAGGAAAGATAGGGATAAAAGTATGCTGGCGAACCAGCGTCTTGTCTCGAATTGACCTTTGCATGGGCAGACTGTTATATAGTACCGATAAAGTCAAAGTAAATTAAATGTACGATGGACCAGAAACAGGCAGTTCTTCCAAGCGATAAAAATGTCAATATGCGAATTGGTAGTAGTAACGAAAGGCATAATAAGCAAAATCAAAGGCAGAATTGCCCAGGCAAACTGCAAGCAAGAAGAGAAAGACACCGCCGTTTGCGACTCGAAGATCGTAAAGGTCAAAACGCTAATCGTCGCGAGGAATGAAAATGGAGCAGAAGCGGTGTGCAAGAATGATAGCAAAAAACCAAATCACATAAGAATACACCAAGTCGAAATTAAGATTAGATCCCAAGAAGAATGGTGAAGGAAGAAAGTCATGAAGCTCCAATAAAGAACACTTCGTTTCACATGGCCGCTCATTGTCATGCATAGTACCTGTAAAATCAATCGCAAATTTGGCAGTCTGGGGGCGCTCACTGCGCACCCAAAACAGGGTTTCGGGTAAAAGATACCAGTTCTGCCGCTTCAAAAGAATAGAAGACAGAGAATTGTAGAAAAAAGTCAAGGAAGATGAAGAAGGATCAAGCTTGCCGATAAACGGCTGAGGCACTGAGCAAATTCGTTACCGATTGCTATCGGAAGTCGTCTTCGGAATCATTATCATCCGTGAGGTCAAGTCGATGGACAAGTTCCTTCGTTTCTCTGGCGATTTCGAAAGCAATGGGTGGAAGTTTCTTGATAACCTCTCGGTGCTCTGCAATATTTACGGCATCCTCGCCCTCGGCTGTTGTTTCTAAGAGACGAGCCCGATGCAGGTTTAGCGTCTGAAGTATGGGACCAGAGCGTTCCCGAAGGACGAGAGCGTTGGATTTATCGATGAAATGTTCTGTGGAGGAGGAGACATTGGAAACAATAGACGAAATGGCCGAAACATGGGTGCTGATGGTCGTCAAAACGTCTTCCGCACGGACGCTGGCGACGAGCGCCTGAATGGATTGGACCAGCCCATCAGTCTGGTCCTCGATGTACAGCTACAGAGTCGATTAGTTTTCACCCGGGAAAGAGAGAATACAGTAGAGTCAGCTCACCTTCAATTCCTGGAGCTCGTGATCTTCCGATTTCAGCTGTGAGCCCGTCAAGAAACCATTCTGAAATCCCGCATCCAAGTGAGAATGTGTTCCATTTGGAGTACGATTAGAAGGATCGCTCATAGCACTATAGATCGAGTCGTTATTGCTCATTCTGCTCTGGCTCGGAGCAACGCTAAAATAGTCGGGAGACTTCATCTGCGAGAATTGATCTCGTTCTTCTTCGTTTTCGTTGAGCTCGTCTTCTGGCGTGGGGCGGATTTTCACGAGGCGAACGAGTTCAATAACTGCAGTAGACAAGTGCGATGCCGCAGCATCGAGGAGCGAGACAGGTGAAAGACCATTCGAACGGACAAAGTTCTTGGCCGCTGTGATCATGTTATTGGCTGTCGCAGACACTTTCCGCGTGGCTTTTGTACGCATAGCTGCTAATCCGTCGGCAGGGTTCTGCGTTGATTCAATGTCATTCAGGACATGACGGACTGCGAGAATGACTCCCTTAATCTGATGCATCACGAGCTGGTATTCGTCGGATCGTGCGACGCGAAGCAACTCGTCAATGGATATTTGGAACTTGGTCACATGTATATCCTTGACCAATCCATCGTCATGCATGAAACCATTATCTTGAGCTACCGTGCTGAGGCCGGGACGAGTCTCTGAAATGCCGGATGATGCTCTAAGATGCCGTAGCTGAGTCTTAGCTTTGGCGTACCGGGTCTTCCATTGCTGTAATTCTTCTTCCAGCCGTTGAACCTCGCCTGACAATCGCTCTTCATGCTCCCAGCGGGACTGGGTTTGCTCCGACAAAGCCTTCATCTCCATTAAAAAGGTTGTGGCTTCTCGTCTGACTTCCTCTGTCACCTGTTGTTGCTGGTGTAACTCAGCCTGCAGGTCCCGATGCTTGATCTCCAGCTCAGAAAAACGAGCTTGTAAACCGGCGTCCCCGGCACTCTGCCGAGATGCCTCGTTGAGTTGATTTCTCAGATCTCTCTCCGTGGCATCATGCTCGGTTCGCACCTTTTCGAGTTCGAGCTGAAGAGAGGTGTTCAATTCTTCCGCCTGGGATATTTTGCTTTCGAGTTCCATCTTGAGGGCATCCCACTCTTGCTTTGCTGCGCCAGTCACCTGCTCTACGTGTTACTAAAACACTAGTGTGAAATCCAACATGTCAGTTAGGGCGTCGCATACCTGAGATCTTTGATGCTCTTCTTGAAATTTCGCCAGCTCCTCATCTTTTGACCTGATCAACTCCTCAAATTTGTCCACCTTGTCCTGCTCCTCTTGGTACCTGGACAGTTCTTCGTCTTTTTGTTTGAGCAATTCCTCCAACTTGCTGACTTTCTCCTGCAGCGCCGACGCCTGCGACTGCGTCCCCGCCAGAAGCTTCCGTTCGCCCTCACCTAGGGTTGTCGTCGTCCCTCTCCTGCTTTGCAAGACCCCGTCCAGAGCGAAAGCATCACTCCTTGCGTCGTAATCATCTTCCGTACCGGCCGCATCGTCATCGTCCTCCACCATGATACTCTTGTTTGGGACAATCGTGTTGCTTTGGAATG